CTCTCAGAACATCCCAACTGCAGAAATGTTAGTGATCAAGCAAACCGGGAAAAGCGACGCTGGGAACCTCGACCATCGGCAGTAGTGAAAATTGTTAAGAATCCGGGGAAGATGTTTTGTCGGGGCCAGAGCTGATGGCGGGTAATCGAGGCGAAATTTGACCAATCTCCCAATAGTCATGGGTTCCCGTCTCTTCCATCGTGTTTCATCATTCTTTCGTTTCCTTAATTCTATTGTCGGAAATAGTAACTTTACCGTTAGTTCCCCAAAATTAAATTCCGAAAAAGTTTAAATAAATGGCCGAATTCCTTTCGTTTCTCTTCTCTTTTACCATTTTTAATCTCTTCCTATGTTTTTAATTTCATTGCCGGGAAGATAAAATAACAAGGGTATTCCCCCTTCAATTAAATGTCGTGAAAAATAAAGAAATTAAGGGATATTATATTTTTCCCTTCTCCCCTACTAGTCTTAATCCCATTTCCCCATCTTTAATTATGGTACTAAAATACATAAAAATTTGAGGCCTTATTTCGGCCCCGGTCGTATGCCGCAAAAACGTTGCGGCGAGGTCAGTTCCCGCGATGCCTCTCCGCGGCACGCCAATCCGGGTCTAACCCTCTGAACGGCCGGAAATGATGATCCGTAGATGTGCCGAGTGCGGCCACCCATCTCGCCATCTTTGAGGGTTACCCGTAAGGTTAAGCGCGCCCAAAATCAAGGGCGCCCTAAGCTCCCCTAATTTTTGCTGCCTGGTCTAACCAGAGTACCGTCAAAACTCGGACTCGTCTTTACGCCTTAGTCCCAAAACCGTAGATTTCAGGCGGCGCACTGCTTGTGGCCGCCTGACAGTTAGCCCGGACCACTTCTCGACGCCCTCGTCGAGCCCTAACCACTTTCGTCAGACGAAGCGGACGAGCTTCACGGTGATTGCCCGTAAAGGACGCCCACGTCGACGTTCAATTGTCTTATGTTTCAGTCTGTTTTGAGTTCTAGGGCTAAGTAGATGTTTTTTGACTTCCCTTCTCCGCCGGGTTCTCGGCCTTGGTAGGATCCTCTTTTTCTTCTGTCGTTGGCCCGAGAAGGGTGTCGTCCCGCCAGTTTGTCTAATGCGGACTCTCCGTCTGGCCCTCTTGAGCACGAATAACCATTTCTTCTCTCTTCCCTGAGCTAACCCTTCGACCTTACTTTTCTCTATTCTTTTTCTCTTCTTGGAACTCTCTCTTGTCTCGAATCGTCTCGAGGGGGCTCCATCCTCGATTTTGGCTTTTCCTTTCCCTTTCGGGCTTGTCCGCGATAAGGTGGGTGCTGGCCTGGGTCTAAACAACTTTAACCTAGCGCCTGCCACTGTGTCCTTCCACTTGGATCCGTCTAATTTCGCTATCATATATGCACCCCAGTCGAGTGCCTCAACCACTTTATAAGGTCCCATCCATCTGTTTGCGAGTTTTTCGGTCCAGGTCCTCTCCACTGCTGCGTCGTAAAGAAGGACCATATCTCCTATGCTCACCCTCTCGTTTTTGATCCGCACGTTCTTATCCCATCTCTCTTTCCTTTGTCTCTTTTCACTGCCAGACGATCTGCCGCTGTCATAAGGTTGTCTTCCAAACCGTAGGCTATCTGTCTTGTTCGGGCAGCTATGAGTTCCTCTTGGAACATCTCCTCCGCCCAGTCAATGGTCGTCCAGCTGTCGATGTGAAACTCTATGGGGAGCGGACAATGTCGCCAAAACCACAAGGTGTAGGGTGGGCACCCTGTGCTAGCCCGGACCGTGACGTTGTCCGCCCATATCGCATATCGAAAATGTCGTGGCCAATCACTGTCCTTACCCTTGCACCAATTGGACAGTGACGCTATCAGAGTTTGGTGTCCCCTCTCTACTATGGAGTTCGACTGTGGGTGGTAGGCAGTGGCTATCGAAACTCTCGCCCCAGCTCTCTGGAACTCGCTCTGAACCTCGTCGGCTAGGAATTCCGCCCCTCTGTCCATCACTATCTTGCTGATACAACCATACCTAGATAAGTACTCTAGGATGAAGTTCTTCACTTCCTTTGCCGTCTTACTCCTGATAGGTATACCGTCCACGAACCTTGTGAAATCGTCTCGTATGTTCACGACGTAGTTCATATTGCCTACCCCTTTCGACATTTTCACCAGATCGATGTGTACCTTCTCTCCTGGTCTCGTTGGATAGGATGGATGAAGTGGCTCTTTGTATTTCACAAGAGCTCTCTTCTGACACTCTTCGCAGGTCATACAGTACTTCTCGACGCCCTTATACTGTCCTTCCCACTAGTACAACCTGCGTACCTTTTCGTAGGTTCCTTTGACTCCCCTATGTCCTCCGACTACCCCGTCGTGAAGCTCCGCAACTATTGTCTATCTCTCCTCAGGGTCACAGACTACTCAACCCCGAGCCGACCGGCCTTCGAAACAGATGGCCAGCTCTAAGGTAGTACAAGGCTGCTTGTCTCCGGATATCTGATTCTTGACTCTGCTATCCTGACAAATGTAGCCCGATCATTCGGTATTTGCCCTCGTAAAGGTTAACCAGAAATCGCTCGGTGCGTCCTCGCTCCGCCATAGTCAGGGCCCCAATACAATCGGGCGCTCGGCCTCAAGAGGGATGCGCGAAAGTCCATCTGCCACGATATTTTTAGTGCCAGATATCCTCTCAACCGTGTAATCATATAGCCGAATCCGTATTAACCATCGGGCGATGGTCGGGTCYGTCAGACTAAAGTCCTTCTGGAGGACAGAGGCAACCGCGGTGGGATCTACTCTCAAGATGAACCGTCGCCCATAGATATAGTGTCTGAACATGTCTAGACACCGCAGAACAGCTAACACTTCCTTCTTGAATTGACTGTAGTTACGCTCAGCAGTATTAAGTGTTCTACTATCAAATCTTAACGGTCTTTCCTTCCCTCCAGCATGAGACAACAATCCACCAACTGAACAAGGTCCCGCATCCGTGGACACTATGAAAGGTCTCTCGGTCTCATCGTCAAAGAATGACATGCCCAGTACGCGTCCTCCCTCCTTAAATTCGCCTTTAAGGTCTTGCATAGCCGTTTTCTGCGAGGAACCCCAGCTGAATTTCTCAGTCTTTCGAAGGAGAAACCTCAATGGCTCAGCCTTCTCCGCATACCCTCGTATGAATATACGCCAGTATCCGACCACCCCCAAAAACTGCCGGACCTCGGTTGGACTATGTAACGGTGACGGCCAGTCCAGGAGTTTATCTAGCTTCGCCGGATCCGCTCGGCGTCCTCTCAAGTCAGAGATAAAGCCCAAGATCTTAATAGTCGAGACGGCCCATCGGCTCTTTGTTCTGCTGGCCGTCAAATTCGCATCGTCCAGCTGTTCAAGTACCGCGCAAATATCTGTTAGGTGCTGCTCGATGAATCTTCTAACTCCTGGTACAACCTCTGTCTTATCCTTGTTTATTGGCTCTTTTATAGGAAAGTAATCCAGAAAAACCTCAACCTTATCAGGAATGAAGTCCTTGAGGACGGCCACCATGGCTCTTTGAAAAACAGCTACCCCATTAGTCCATCCCATAGGAACAACCATCATCTATATTAGTCCCAATGGCGTATGCATAGCCGTGAGGTGCCTGCCCCTAGGATCAAGCGGTACCTCATCATAGCCTGAGAACAGGTCACAGACCGAATAAATTGACCTGCCTGCGGCGCCTTCTGCTAGTAAATCGGCGTGCGGCACGGAGCCCACGTCTCGTATCGTCACCGTGTTGACCTTCCGAAGGTCTTGGATCCATTGGATCTTGCCATTCGGTTTTCGTAGGAAGAACCATCGATTAGCCTAAGCGCTATCAGACAGCTCCGCTACATGGGAAACCATCTTTTCTTTCAGGAAAGCGAAAACTTCTTCCTTCTCCTTCTGGATGTATTTCCATCTTGCGTCATTCCAAAGAACATATGGAATCGTGTAAATCCTCGCTGGCTTAGCGTATCGAGGGTCAACCCTACCGCGCTCCGTGTCGCTGAAAGCTATTGCCTTATCACATGTCTTCAAAATTTCTATCACACGTTCTCGCTCCTGTGGGGTCAGTTTTCCATCTCCGATGTCCATCCCTGCTATCCTCTCTTCCGTTAGGCGTTGTGACTCCTTTTTCTTTCTTTCTTTGATTTCTTTTGCGATATTTTTTTCCGATATCCCTTCCAGTGGAGATCGCTCACGGCCCACTGCCGCTGGCTTAACTTTTTGAGCTACTCGCTTGTATCGCTTGGGTAGCCCCCCATAGGGGGTTGTGCCCTTAAAAAAGACACAGATACCACCCCGCCAAATTCCTCATCTGTCTCCTTTGGGTACGAGTTGCCGTCCACTATCAACCGACCCCCTAAATCTTCCACTTCCACGATCCGACCTTCTTCCTCTGTGAGCAGTGGTCCATACTTCTTCTCGCGAAATCGCACCGCACGGCCAGAGATAGGTAATGACTTAATCTGATCACTGGGTGTTGCTCCCACTGCGAGAGTTGCTCTGTTCCTTGGGTCCCGAGGCTCCACCGTCTCAATCATAACCCGCGTCCCATCTAGCTTCTTAATGGACAACGTCTGGCTTCCATCCAGTCGTTCTATCACCACCGCATGCACGTGGCTTAACCACGTTCGTCCGAAGAGCAGATCGGAGCTGCAGTTCTTGACTGCAAAGTCGGGCAGTGTCACTCGTACCCCTTGGACCTCTATGGCTGCTTTGTGACAAACCCCAATGATCTGTTGCTTTCTCCCATCATCAGTCTCTATCTCGAATAGGTATGACCTATCGAGGCCCAGTCCAACCTGACTGCCAGATCCTCGTCTGTAATGACAGCCTCACTGCCGTTATCGATCACAACATCTAGTACCGCTCCATCGTTTATGATCGTCTCCACGACCCCACTACCAAGTATGTAAAACTTGTCTGGTGGCACACCTTCCATCCCATCAAGAAGGACTGTCGCCATGCGATCCGCTCTGACAGTCCCCCCCGTTACTGCTACGGTAGGAGCTTCCGCCTTAGGGGCCCCCTAAGACTCCTCTGATAGAGGTATCCGAGTCTTTTGTGTGATCATCTGTAACTCATCGCGAGATGGCTTCGATGCTGCCAGGTACTCCAGAATAGAGCACTGCATGGGCTGCCGAAGGACCCGTCTCAGTGGCTCGACCGTGTCGATCTCATCCAGTGAACTCTTCATCAAGAACTTCTTTACTCCCTGCTTTCGCAGTGAAAGAATAACCTCCTCTCCATCGATCCACTGCCCGCCGTCCTTCTCCGCCATCACGTAATCCGTGTCGGTCTTCTTCGATGTAGATCGTCTCGCGGACTTGGTGGCTGCCACCCTTATGGGTGTGGTCGCCATATCCCCCTCAAAAGTTATCTTGATGCTCTGACTCCTGACCGGTTCTTTTCCTCTACTCGGCTTTACTCTCCTTGCTTCGACATTCTCCTTCATCGAAGGGAACATCGATACATCTCTCAGATCATCTGCCCACTTGACGTACTTGCGGTCGTCAAGCACGACAAGCCCCTCATCTATTGCCCGTTTCAGGTCCGCGCAATCTCTCTTGATATGATCATCCCCTCTACAGTAGACGCAAGAGTTCCTAGGGGTGGGTGGGCTGTCGTCTGTGCCTCTGGAGGTCGTACCTCTCGCTGCTCTGGGGTCAGGCGACTTGGGATACGGCTCTGATGAGGCGCCATATCCCCCTCTCTCATTCCTATCACGCGAATCGTTGCGGCGGTCTCCCCTAGATCCTCCTGACTCATATCGTCCCCGTGAATCGTGTCGGCGGTCCCCAGCATCGTATCGCCCGCGTGTCTCATCGCGCCGATCTCCTCGGGTATACCACCCCCGCGAATCGTCGCGCTGCTCTCTCGCGTATCCCCCGCGGTCATACCGTCCGCGCGAGTCGTCTCGTCGGTCCACGTCTCGACCTCCTCTTTCATATCCACCACCTCCGTAGCCATCTCGATCCGTCCTCTCATATCTTCCGTCCTTATATCCATCTCGGTCTGATCTCTCATATCTGCAGTCCCTGTATCCGTCTCGTCGGCCCTGATCTGACTCCCACCGGCCTCTAGAGTCGCCTCTACCCCGATCGGCCTCATAACGAGGACTACGCAAGTAATCATCCAGCCTCCTAGCTCGCCCATACGTCTCGCGAGCTCTGAGGTCCTAGTCTATCTCGTCATCCCTACGTCGTGATGGCTCATCGTCTCTCTCCCTTTCCCTCGTACGATAATCAGTCAGCGTGAGAGGATTTCTGTCCTCGACATTCCTCCAGGAATCGGTGTTCCTCCGATCCCAGCGAAGTGAATAGGGCCCTCCGGGTTTGTCCCGGTAGGTCGTGGCTCCTGTGCTTGTCACAATCTCTGTAACCTGTCTTGTCAATCCCTTTACCATGTCCCTTATCTCCTTCACTTCCTCGGCCACGACTTCACTCTTCTCCGACCAAGGGTGGTCCTTGAAATCAGGGCATCTATCTGTGGCATACTCCTTGTAGAGAGAGAAGTCACGTCTCCTCATCCCTCTCCACACTAAGTCCTTGTAGTCGTCTGCCTCTGCCTTTATCGCGAGCTTTATGACTTCTAGGAAATCAAGCTTGTCGCGCGGAAGATCTCTAAGTATACTGTTTTGTCTACCTTTGGTTAGGTGTCCGATGAAGATAATACAGCGTTCGACCTCTGAGATCTTCCCCTTCTTCATCAGCATGTCGAAGATCTTTTGGAAGCGCATCCCAAAGGCCCGTACGCTCTCATCCTCATCTTGAGTCATCGTTTCAAGGTCCTTGATGGAGTACTTGTTATCCTCCAACTTGTAAAGCTCTACGAGGTTTTTTTTGTACGTAGTCCATTTCCCATCCTTGGGTCGGGCTTTCTTAACTTCCTTGCCGAGGCTTGGGTCCACATTAAATAGGAAGTTCTCTATAATCTCTTCCTCCGACCACTGACTCCGACTTGCATGAAGCTTCCACTTCTCTAGATATTTTGTGATGCCATAACCCCTAAAAGTAGGTGGCTTAGAGGCCTTGTGTGTTATAATATAGCGGTTCTTGCTCTCGTAAGGGACCCAATGCGACTCCCCTGTCTGAGCGTCGAAGACTCGCTTGGGCGGCGCTTGGTCTCTATCTTTGTCCCTCCAATAGGAATCTCTCGAACTCTCCCGCCAGTCGTCTCTGTGCCTATCCGCCATGGTCTCCCTCCGCTCATACTCGGGGGAGCGTCGTCTCATCGCTTCTCGTCGACCGCTCGAGGTTCCCGTCTTCAGTGCATCCTACAGCTCCGTCACGACTGGTTCGCCCATTACGTCGGGCTCTCCGTCATTGGTTTGGTAAGCCCATCTCAGCGGTGCGTCTCGCCTAATTCGTTCCTTCAGATCCCTCAGAGCTCGGTCGGGCGATGTCCTGTACTCCTCTCCTGCCTCGGCCGTGGTCGGTTGTGGCCCCATCGTGTCTGGTTCCATAGTCCACCAGAAGACGCAGTCAGACACTCTTGCCAGGTATTACAGCCTGGACTTATGACAGTTGTTGCAGCCCGGATTTGTGATGGAACTCGCAGCCCGGACCAGTTTCCTTGTCACAGTTCACGCTCATCACCAACCCTAGCTCTCGATTGCCCTGATCACTGCCACCAGTACTCGGTTCCGGTCGCGGATCTCGTGCTCTCCCTCTATCCCAAGAATCCCTGTATCTAGGTAGACCTCCCCTTCGGGATCGGCCAATCAAGGCCGCGCCTCTCTGGATCGGCAGTATACCGGTGACAGGATTCTCTACACCTGCGGCAGATCGCAGTCCCAAGCCTAGCCTATGTCTCCTGATCAAACCCCTCAAGAGCCTCCGAGTGTCTAACTCCGCCCTCCTTTCTAGGTCTCCTAGCCCGTCCTGAATCGGGTAGCGTGCTGAAGGTGGAAGCTCTCCTCCAACTGCCATCCAAAGTCGCCCGCCGACCTTTCTGACCTGTACTTTCCTTCCAAGAGCTTCCAACCTCTATTTCTCCTCCTTCAACTCCCAAACAACTATGAGATCATCTGTCTAGCACCTGAGGTAAGTCAGTGCTATAGCTACTCGTAACCTTATCGCCGACAGCTCCAAAATGTCATAGAATGTCTCAAAGTCCTCCTCATCTCCACCGTTTTCTATGGCCTCTAAAGTCTTTATCGACTCCTTCCACTACCGATCGTGAGCGGCTAGCACCCTGAGTATGGCACCGTCTGTTACAACTCTCCCTAACTCCCCTGCTTTCCTGGCCTCGCTTATCTTCAACCTCTCAGCCTCTATGGTCGTCTCGTACCATGTCCTTATCCGCGACCGCCCTTCAAAAGGTGTTACTCGGAGTACGTATTTTATCCTCCGTCCTCCTTCTAATCCGATCCAAAGTCCTGTCCCCCTGGCCTCACGCAGGGCACGRCGGACACACTCTGCCTCCTCAWCTATGCACAGTCTGGTATGGAGCTGGAGCTCTACGATCACTAACACCAATGGTCCGTCCAATCTCCCTACCACATGCAATGAGTACCGATCCGTCGTGTATAGTGCAGTCCCGCTCATGTCCTGTCGCTACCTCCCTGTGTTACCTCGTCCTCCGTTGTCACGCCCTCTGCAGACCTCTCACTAGTTCCTTCGCGTGATACGCTTCTAGCCTTTACCCTCTCCAGAAAGTCTGATCTCCACCCCTGGATAATCTCTCTTTCCTCCCTAAACAGACTCTCCAACTCTCTCGTCACGAGCTCAGCCCCACACAACTTGCTCTCATCCTGGCACGACCAGATCTCCCTTAACTTGTTCCCTAACTCCTTTACCTGGTTCAAAAGCGGTTCTTTAATGCGCTCTCTAACTCTTCCGACTGCATCACTCTCCTCTTCCATACTCAGTCTTCATATTTTTCCAGCTCATCCTCTCACTCTTGCTCTAGCCTCCTCTATCGTCTCGTCATGGAAGTACTCCGTACGCATATAGCCATGAGACCATATCATCACCTCATAGGAAATCGAGGTCTGGAAGGTCACCCGCGCCAGTACATCATCTCTATGCTCGTGGATCAAATCCCTGGCTCGTTGTCTGCACTCCCTCGCTGTCAAGTCCTCATTTATGTACGCTCGGAGTAGTACTGTCACAGTGTACCCGGTGCTCACCAGTTGCTTTCCAACACGCATCACTGTGGCCGTCCTCCCCGACATTCTCTAAGTTGCGGCCTCGAAGAGAAACCTCACATCCTCCAGCCCCATGTAATCGATCTCCGCCTTTCTCCTGCAATACCTAATCAGATCGACTGGGCTCAGACAATCCACCCAGTTAGTAACATCTATGATGTCGTCAAGCATCTCTCTACTAGGCGGTCCCCACCTCACACAAATGGCGTAGTATACTTCCCTGAAACGGGGCGCTAAGCCCTCCCAGAGCGCGTAAAGTGTGTGGTCCACTGCTCTACTCAAACGTTCTACGCTCCCATAGGTCTGCCCTATTACGAAGGTAGGAAGTCCGAATCGCCAGTCCTCTCTCGGGCAGAGGGTCGGATGTGGTGGACCATATACCAAGCGGCTCCAACGCGTCCTCCCTCCAGAGAGTCTCGCCAGTTGCTGATTAACGATCACTCTGGCCAACGACTCGCTTCTCCACCAACTCCTGCTCGCCCCTGCGAGCGTCAGTCCTATCTCTAAATCGTGTGCTCTATCCGCTATCAGATGTCCGACCCCTTCTAGATCATGAGTCCTCTCGGGTCGTTCGTCTCGTAGAATCACTGTCCAAAGGAAGATCCCCTCTGCGAGCCACGTTCCCAGGTATCGTATCGGAACACGCCCTGTCCCCTCTAACGCCACGGGAAGAGGAATGTCGTATCTAACCGCCGTCTCTCTGGGTCCCACAAACTTCCTCACACTATACGATTCGGACTTTCGTGAGAGAACATAAGCTAACCAGACCACTGAATCACTCCTCATCTCCTCTCCGACTCTCGGTCAGCATCACTATACTCCCTCCGATGCACCCTATCTCTCGACGTTGCTAACCCCTCAGACAACTCTCGCACTCAGGTCCAGTATGGTCGAGTAGGTGCTGTGCGCTCTTCCGTCTGCTACATGGAAGTAGATAGTAAACTCGACGTACCTCTGGCTCCTCCGTATCTCCAGCGCATGTTCCGTCATGAGTCCGATTTGTCGCTCAACAATCTCTAACGCCTCTCTTTCCCAGCCATCAGTCCTATCTCGTCGTAGGGAAAGAGTCACCCTCAGTTTATCCCGGTCTGCCATCCTCTGCACTACTCCCTTCCCTATACCTCACTCGGATATTTCCTGCCTCTAGTCGTCTCACGCATCTGGCATATCCTCATCTGTGTCCTCATCTAGCCTCCGACCCCATGGGATATCCTCCTGTCCCTCGGCCTGTAGGTGATGTCCCCAACCATCCTCCTGGTCACCCCAGGGGTCTATGTCATTGAAGTCCTCCTAATCCCGATCCTCGGCGTACCACGCAAGACCGTCAGCCTCTRGATATACCTGCTGGTAATACTCCTCAACCTCGCCGGTCGAGATGAGATGGCCTGGCCTCTCCTCACGAGTCTCGGCTAACAGCTGTCCCACTCCAGCTAAATGATCAGTAGGTCTCCGAGCCTCTCTCTCTAGCGCCGTCCAGAAGGATAGGGGCTGGTACAGAGAATACAGGTCGGGGCTCCCGGTAGGTACAATGGCCCGCAGGAACTCAATCAACTGGAGCCCTCGCTCGCCTACAAGCGGCCCTGCTACAAACTGCGCATACAACACCCAACCCCTGTCAATGTACCCCCGACAGAGGCTGTCCAAGTCAAGGACCGCAAAGTAGATCTCACCCAGACGTCTAAGTCCCCAAAGCTCCTCCGCCACGAAGCACGGAAGTGTCACTCGCAGTCGACTGCTAGGATATGGGAAGTGTCCTCCTATCCTCAAGGTCGTCGTCACTCCCCGAACACCCTCGTGCAGCCGCTCTACCTCGCCCCGCGCGGAGTCTGCTCGGGCGAGTAAAATCCTCCTCGCACTCTGCTCCTCTCGCCAATGATCGTGCACGATGCCGTGAAAATAGACTGTGGCTAGCACCTCCCGCGAGTAGTAAATGTGGCCCATTACCTCTATACTAGTCGTGCCTGGTCGTCGCCACATCTGACTGTCTAACTCAAACGTCTCGATGACA